TCAGTAAATATTTGTGGAATAAATGAATTCCAGCCCCTAATGATATCTTTGAGCATGATATCTTATACTTTTCCATAGGGTTGGGTTGGCTGCAAAGCTCTAACCCCATTTTAACTTTCTATGTTAGTGTTGTCAGTGCAAAGGCCAGAACTATTGTATATGTCATGTCGCCTGTTTGATAGGATTTTGAGTGCATTTTTCAGACCTCTTGCATCACAGCCATAAAAGCTACATTCCCACCTTCCCAAATGGCCAAAGCTAGGGATTCTAAAGAGAAGTAACTTCTGTGGGAAGGAGGAGGAGAAGTGTCTGGCTTCCAGAGAGGGGAGCAAGTGGGAGCTGACATGCTGGATACCCAGAGCAGGGGTGGCAGTGGGTGCCCAGAGCGTGCGGAGGAGGTCCAGCTCTGTGGGAAAGGATGGGAATGGGTGGGGGGAGGCCAGGGCACTAATATCCTCATCCTTCAAAGTGGGGGCCTAAAAGACAATGTTGAAGGGGCAACAAATCTATCATTTTGCTTTACAATGTCAATCAGTTGAAAAACCAAACTGCTGGTTGGCAGGAGAGGAGAAGAGCAGACAAGCATCTTCATGTCTCACGACAGGAAGTCTACCGATAAAACGGCACACTTTAAAGTGGCACGCATATATGACTTAGGGACTTGACACCAATTACCACAAGGATCAGAAACAGAAACAGTTAAAATTTTCATTTTAAATAATTCTTTCTGTGAAGCTAGACTGCAATGGAGAGGATAGGGTAGGTGCCTCTTGTTTTCCAAGATAAATCTTTCTGCACTAGCTGCTCTTCCCCCAGCCGTGTCTTACTGACGAAAGGAATTGATGGCTTGTATTTGAAGAGCTCTTTGGCCCGCTCCATGCTCGATGTGTCAGCCTCTCTGGGTTAAGGCCCCCAGCACGGTGCATCTCAAAAAGCCCCCATGTGAGCATCTGGACTCCTGAAGGACTTGGCCAGCACCAGGGACACTGTGACAGAAATGAGCAAATGAACAAACAGCGAGCAAGGAATCTGTCTGATGATACTTCTTATAACAAGTCAGCGCTGATAAGCATGTGAATATATCCACCGTGCCCAGGGTGGCCCAACCCCAGAATAAGGCAAAACTGACTGTCCAGCGTAGAGCAGTCAAGCCATTTCTCTATCATTCTCGTTTTTCCAGCACTTTTTTAAAAACCTATTCTAATTTTAAAAATACTAAATTAAAATACTGAAAGATACACCATACACAAATCCTTCCCCAAATTGTCCTTGGCTGGTGCCAGCATCCAGATCTTTCTGTGAAGACCCCAAGGGGCCAGATGACCATTGCCCTGAGACCCCTTAGCAACCTGCACTGAGAACAGAGGCCTTGGCCTACAGGAAACTGCCAGAAAACCTTAGTCCTTTCAAGACCTAAATCGAGGCCTTGGGCAGAAAAGACCGAGACAAACAAAAACAAAAAGCAGATTCTGGTTCTCAGCCAAGCTCAAAGAGCCTTTGTCAAAGCAAATCAAAGCTCCCCCAGCAGCCGGCTCATTATGTTTAATCATCAACTGTGCTTATCAGATCCTTGATTGGTAAGTCCCTTGAAGAAAAAAAGGTGCAAAAAGAATCCTTTTGTACTTTGGAGATTGATTTTAAAGCAGGCCTGGAGGTCACCTGTGGAGGTGCTGTAGGCGGAAATTATAAGCAGGAAACAAATGTGCTCATTTGATTCCATGAAGTTGGGCAGAATCCTGGATGCGGACTTAACATCTGAAACTAAGCATGGTCCAAGCACCAGCCTGCACATTATTTTCTTTGGGCCCCCGGGGTGGTGGCGGAGGATGGCAACAATACAGGGTAGGGCCTCCTCTGACTCCCCTGGAGTGCCTGGGCTGAGACTGGGGGAGACCTGACAGGTTTACCTGCTGGAAACAAATGCTCACCTTGCTGTCCAAAACCCTGGGAAACAGGATCCCTTGGATCGGCTGGGCTGGGCTTTCCTTGGCCAGATCTTCATTGTGGTTTTAAATATTTGGGGTCTTAAGCTGGCATTTGACTCACGGTGACCAGCCATTCAGCAAACCTGATAAATCTGCCAGTACCCAGAGCCACAGTTCTGCATCCAATATCCTTTTCTGGGGAAAGCAAGCAAGAAGACCTATGTGTGCATAATGATAAGAATAATAGGAAACAGTTAATATTATTCTCAGGGAGACCTGCAGTAAATTAGGCTGATCTGCTGGCATCCTGAGGCCGCTATCCATGGTGTTCCATCAAAAGCTGAACAACCCAGCAGGCAAGAATCGAAGGGCAAATGAAGTCTCACCAAGAGGCCAGTGAAGATTCCATCACAACACAAGGAAACATCTGCCTAACTTCTGCCTCCATCTTTCCCTCTGCATCTCACACTCTAGTTCTTTGGGACATTCTCTCAGGCCCCTTCCCAAACACACTCTGCCACCCTTGGCAAGGACATTCTCACTGTTTGCCCCTCACTTTTTTATGCAATAGTAGTTCTCAGTCTTTTTCATGGACAATCCCACCATTGCTCCCTTGTCAGGAACCCCCTCTCTTTTTCTTCCCCTGCACTGTACCATAAGGTCAAGACCACGCTGGCATTACAGACTGCGGGCACCTGGGAGGATGGGTGGAAAGAGAGGCCGGGATTATTGGTACATATAGGATATGGTCCCGGAAACACTATTGATACTTCATTGATTACCTACTGTGTGTTGGACACCATATTAAATTACTGAATTTAACAGGTGTCTACGTTGGGGTTTTCATAAGTGTGTGCGGAGAACACCGTTCCAGGGAGGTGTTCCTAGATAAGAGGGTTTGATAGTTAACTACAGTTGGAAAATGTGCCATCCTGATCTGTCTCTTGGAGATTCACAATGCACATTACACCTCTGATAATTACTGCAGTAAATATGCATATTTATCAATGGTTAACCCAGGATTTCCATAACTAATGCGATTGCTAAACATACTTGAACATGGAAGAAGCAGCTAATGTCACAACACACTTGGCCCATGCAGATCTAGAAGATGGAAGTCACGAAAGGATAGTTGTTCTGAGTTGCAGGTTCTGGAGAACCCGGTAAATCCACCCTGATTTCCTGGGGTGTTTGTGGTGGTGTGGATCTGGGCTTGATTATTCTTGACAGAGAGGTTTTGTTCCCCAGGCATAGGGTACAGATAAAGATGAGCCAGTAACAATTACATGATGGCTTTTAAGACAAGGGAGATATTGGTCAGGGCACCTGGCCCTCCTGGGGGAAGAAAGAGCCCCAGTGAATGCATTGGGAAGGCAAAGGGGGTGAGGCAAAGAGTGCCCCCGGGGCCAGGAAGTCAGACCCTAACCCAGCAGCTAGCACTGGCTTGCAGGGTGGCATAAATGATGCAACTCTGCAGCAACACACGGAAGCCCTAAATTTAAGCTTTGCCCTAGACACTGGCTCATAACTAGAAAAATCAAGAAGTCAACTTGGTGCTACTGGATAGGATTTACTTTCAAAAATGGTTATGGCTTTTCAAAAGCCCCCAGATCCTTCTGTTTCCATTCTCACACCCCTTATTCACCAACCCCCACCCACCAACGTCATGGCTTCTTAAATCAAATGGAGGCAGCATAATCTGCAAGACCCAGGAAGGAGAAGGTTGGCAAGCCCGCACTGCCCGAGGAATGGAGGCCCCTGCAGCTCAGAGGTCCCTGATTTGGGGGCATCAGGGCTGCTATTTTGAAGAGTTGCTTTGTGGCTCCAGGCATTTTGTGATTTTTCTGTTTGCTTTTGGAACTTCTTAAAACAGACCTCAAAGAAGAGAAAACTCCTGCCTGAAACTAATTCCTTTTAGAATCCAATAAATGACTCACAGAGGCTGTTTTGGCCTTTATGCTCCCTGTTGAGTTAATATGATTAGACTCATAAATTCTATTTTTGAAATGTAGACTTTGTACCCTGAATATTCCTCCAGAACAGCAACCACAACAAAAAAAGAAACTGGGAGGAAAATGACACCCCTGTTCACATATTTGGTGTTATCTAAATACGTGCTGTTTGCCCTCTTACTTTTGTCTTTCATCATCTCCTTTTTCATCGGATTAGAGGTTGTGCAAATTCTTCAGAGAAGTTGCATAAAACGGTCTTTAAAATAAGTCTTGCCCACGTACAAGCTAGTCATATAAAAAGCTCTGTTCTCACCAAACATCCATTGACAGATGAATGAAGAAGTAAAATGTCATCTCTACTACATTTTGTCTATGGAATATTATCTAGCCTTAAAAAAAGAAATTCTGACACGTTACAATATGGATGAAACTTGAACACATTATACTAAGTGAAATAAGCCAGTCACACAAAGACAAATACTGTGTGGTTTCACTTACATGAGGCATCAAGGGTAATCAAATTCATAGAGACAGAAAGCAGAAGGGTGGGTGCCAGGGGCTGGGCAGGGGGCAGCAGGGGAGATGGGAAAGTTAGTATTTAATGAGTACAAAGTCTAAGTTTGGGAAAATGAACAAGTTCTGGAGATGGACGTAATAATGACTGTATAATATGAATGTACTTAATGTCTTTGAACTATACACTTGAAATTGCTTAAAATGTTTAAATTTTTATTATGTGTATTTAACCACACACACACACAAAGTTCTGTTTTCTCTGAGAGAAGGGAAGCAATACCTCTGGCCTAAGGCTTCCCCCTGCTTGTTTTTTATCTTACCAACCCTGCTGCTCCAGAAATAACAGTCCCTAGTTCTCCAAAGCTAACACGTGGCCAGACCCAAGTCCTAGTTCATCGCGGAACTGACACGTTCCAAGGGACGGAGGTGGCTTTCTCACAGCGTGTGATGGGCGGTCTTGGCAGGCGGCAGGTGCAGCTTTCCATCCTGGGAAAGGTCTTAACTGTAGCAATGTGATGGCTCCTGAGATTTGTTTCAAGTCACTGTACTCGTTACAAAGTTAACCTGCATGCTCCTTTGTTCTTATGTAATAAACCATCAGCTCCAGAATGTTCAAAGACACATGGCCCTCCTTTTGGCCATAAAATTAACCCTAATCTAAAGACTCTCTCTGTTTCATCTCAACTGTGCGACAAGGCCCAAGTGCTTGAGCCTGTTGTTTGTTAGATAATTTTTGATGGCTCCCATAAAGCAATATTGCTATAATAAAAGATGTCATGTGTGTCCATTTAAGACAACAAGCTATGCTACCCACAGACCCCAAATGAAGTTTTCTGTTGTTTGAGGTTTAAATAAAAAATAAAGAGCTTTATTCTTGCCATCAGAAAAAAGTTCTCTTGAGAAGTTCATTTTTGAAAGAGTCTCTGACATGCCCACAGAAGTAATCAACACCCATATCATATGTATTCTCATGCTTTCCCTTGAAGGCACGTCATACATTTCAGAATTACATGTTAAAAGATACATACAGCCTGGTGAGTGACCAGCCACAATAGTCCAAAAATAATCCTTGTTAACTATATCACATCTTTTTCACTAGATGTGTCCTGACCATCTTGTTCATTGTACTTAAATAGATGCATTTCTCTCTTTACAATGAACCTGAGTGGATTTTGGAGATGTAAGGATTGTGGGAGACTGACGGTAGCACACAGAGGCCAAATTGCCAGATAAACTTTACAAGTAAAAGGTCTGCCACCTGTTCTTCATACACAGGCCATTTTCCATTTCTTAACTGAGGCTCGTCTGGAGTAACCGTAACACGTGCTGGTTGGCTTTACTCCTGCTTTCCACTCCCAGACCATTCCAGTCGAGGCACCCTAGGGGCAAAGCAGGTGGGGAAGAAGAATAAGAACTCTGACCACCAGTTTCCAGAGCATCTGTAAGGAAGGCCTCTTTTTTGGCCAGGGCTGGGGGAACTACCACATAATACAGGGCAAAGGGTCTGAGGCTTAGCTGGATTTGATTATAGCCACTTAAGATGCAAGGCTAGGTGCCATAATACACCAGCTGGGACAAAAAGCTCTTCTTAGGGCAGGGAAATGAGTTAGCCACAGTTACCTTCAGCTCGTCTCTGTTGACCTTCCCCCACTCCTTACCACCCTCCTTTAGTCTGGACAGAAAGAAGGAGGAGATTTCTTCTGGAGGAAAAGCCCTTCTCAACAAAGTACACATTTTGTGGCCATGGAAGCAGGCATGCTTGGAGCCCTGCAGCCCAATGCAGATATTTTTTAGAAAGCCCAAAGCAGACCCCAGAGAACCCTGGGAAAAGAGCTCCCTAGTGCTCAGGGTGAGGGGCGTTCCTTGCTCTGGAACGGAGGGCAACCAGCACAGGAGGGGTCTGAACTTTTGGAAACTCCCTTGACTGGAAAAAAGCAGCTGAGAGGATGCAGGCAGGCAGGGGCCCCCCAAGCAAGGCAGAGAACGAGGGCCTCTGTGTCCCCCTCTGCAAACAGTGACAAACAGTCCAAATGGATGTGCTGAAGAGGACTGGCATGGGTTCTGATGGGTGGTCAAGCAACCGCCCTGCTAAGACCCCAATGATGAGAAGGAGCCAGGAGAGCAGAAATACAGGAGGTAAGCTTGGTGTAAGGGTGGGATGTCACGTACAAAGGCCCAGAGGTAGGAAGGGTCTGCGGTGTTCAAGGGGAAACCAAGTGTCTGGCTTGAGGGATGCTCAGGGAGCTGAGTTTATAGATGTGGACAGGGTCCCCTCACTCACAGCCTCTCAGAGAAGGAGGGAGGAGACCCCAAGTGTCCTCTGAGGCCACTCTCAGGAGCCTTGGACCAGTGGAGAAACCATTCGATTCAGCAGCCAGTGAGGCTGGGTGCCTGGCACCCTTACACCCTGCTGCCGGGGGCTGACACCTTCCTGGGTATGCCTTCCACCCACCTTAAACACGGTAAGCCGTTATCCACTCACCACTTACTGCCTATTGTTGTTCTCAGCGAAGCAGCCAAGGCCGGGATACCAGGCCACCCTTTCCCACCATTTTCTTTCTCTACCGTTTAGTCACACCAGTCCTTCTCAGCAGGGGGCAGCGGATTCTCTCCTTAGGAGACACGGGCATGTAGGGGGACATTTTTGGTGGCACCGATGAGGCAGGGCTACTACTGGCATCTAAGGGGCCGGGCCAGGGCTGCTGCTGTGTCTTACAGCGCACAGGGACCCCCTCACTACAGAGATGAGCCCATTCAAAATGTCAGAAGGTGGCTAAGAAGGAAGACCATCCCAGGGGGATTACTAGGGAGGGCTCTGTCCCAGACAAAAAAGACCTGTAAGAAAGCTGGTTCAGTCCCTTTCAAAATTAAATACCCTCCTCCTTTGTCACACACTGGAAAACAAGTGAGCTTCTATTTCAGTCTGTGGGGTGGGTTTCTGTCTGTTGGGCTGACTTTCTGGCAGAAGCCTGATGCATCGCAGACAGCTGAGTGCGGCTTACTGTGTATCAGAAAGAGAATTCCCAGAGCCATGGACATGGCCAGGCACACAGCCCTCAGCCCTGGGGCCACTCTGCGCCCCCTGAAGCTCACGTACCCCCAGCTATGTCCTCCCATGCAAGGTGACTAGAGACAAAGCTTCAAAGTGTAGGGACTTGCTGGCATCATGAGTTTTCACTTTTGGACTCCCCACACCTCCCGCTTTCATACACAGCCATAAAAGCTCCCAAATTCAAAGCACAGGTGTCTCTAAAAATACCTTTAAATAGATATATCAGCCTTAATGACATATAAATGTCATTACACAACAGAGTTGCTAGAAGCTCAACTGTGTCCCCTGCAAATTCATGTGCTGAAGTGCTAAACTCTGCTATCTTCGAATGTGATGGTATTTGCACGAATGGCTTTTACAGAGGTAATTAAGGTAAATGAGGTCATTAGGGTGGCCCTAACCCAACATGACTGGTCTTTATAAGAAGAGTGGATGTGGACATAGATGCACACAGAGTGATGGCCACGTGAGGACACAGGGAAGAGACGGCCGTCTGCAGGCCAAGGAGGGAGGCCCCAGGAGAGACCAGCCCTGCCCATACCATGATCTCAGACTCCAGCCTCCTCTCTGAGAGAGAATAAATTTCCACTGTTTCAGCTGCCCAGTCTGTGGTACTTGGTTACAGCATCCCCCGCAGAAAACACCACAGTCTTAGAGCTGCAAGGGGCTCAGAAATTCTCCCATGCGCCTTGCCACCCAGGGCCACCATCTCCTTTATGGCCACCCTCCCAGAAGCGGTCCAGTCCCCAGTTACTGTCAGGGATGGTGCCTCATTACTTCACAGAGAAGTGGTTTAGCATGGTGTATTCGTTTCCACTAGCTGCTGTAACAAGTTGCTACAAACGGGGGTTAAAAACAACAGCAATTTTTTCTCTCACAGTTCTAGGGGCCAGTAGTGCAAAATGAGTTTCCCTGGGCTGCGCTCTGTCCTGGGCTACAGGGAGAATCTGTTTTCTCGCTCTTTCCGGCCTCTGGAGATGCAT